TCCCTTTGGAAAGATAAACGATTTTTGAGAGAAAGTGTGTGTCATTAGCCTTCAAATTCTGTCCAAATTCCTTCATTTATAGGCTTCTAATGGTGATTGTAAACCACCAACCGAAATTAACTGCCAAAAACTATCTACAGTTAATCCTTTATTTAACAGAATTTGTTTTGTACTAAATTCAAAAAAAAATTAATAATAATTAAGGACTAATTAATTTCGGATTATATATTAAAAAAAATATTATTTAGTCAAGAAGAGCTCCAAGGCCCAAGGCCCTATCTTTGACCATTAATATTTAATAATCTAAGCCTTCTACTAGCCCAACACCACAACCCAAACCCAATTTGCTTAACTCATTACTTGGTTCATTTAAATAAATGAGTGAGACAAGCCTTATAAGGTGGGAAAAAGGTTCCTCTTCCACCAATGTGGGATAAGTCTCATATTGTAATTTTATAGAACAAAGTTCCAACAATTACTAAACATTAGAACTTACTTTACTTGTTTGGCTAACTTGGACTTGGAGGCCGACGGTTGAGAAATCTATATAAAAAAATCCTTACATAAAACCAACAAATCTTTGTATATACGCGCACAAAATAGGTACATAAGAATGTAAGATATATGAAATTTAGGGGAGGTATAATCGATAATCAATTACATTAAATTGAAGCAACAAAATTGAAATATAAAAATTTAATCGAAGCTAACCAAAAACATATAAGAAATACCATATGCAAAAAACAACCAGAATTAAAGAAATCAAACATTTGTGGCTTTCATCCAAACATGCACCAGTGGCGGAACCAGCTGGTGCGTTGTGGTACTACAACATCCCAAAAAATAATTTATATATTATATATAATTTTTTTTATAAACATGCTTACCCCCATTCCCCAACTAAAATGTTTATACCATATTCAGATTTTAGATATGGAATAAATAAATACAAAACTCGTAAAAACTTTATCTATTGATTATATATTTAAATCCATACGTAGTTGAGCCCAAAAAATTTTATTGTGGGTCTTAATTGCCTAATAACTTCCATTCCAATTTGACGTTTCAATTTCATTAATTTGACGTTTCATACCCTTGTCGGCAAGTGCAAATAATTCATCCCAAGTTTGCAAGTCGCAACAAACTAAGACAGATCGGCATTTACATCAGGTATGTTTTTACTTCTTATGTTTTTTAAAATTATTTTCTGTTTTATGCTTTCAGAAAATTATATTTAGGAATATGATTTTAATTTGTGTCATAAGTGCTTCTGTTATTGATTATTGAATATTTATTTTCTTAATTTTATATGTTAGGGTTTATTTAAAATAATGAGTAATCCATCCATATCAAAAAAATCAAAGGGAAAACAACCCGATCTTCGACAATTTATGTTTAAAAAAATGAAATTATAAGACACTCAATGTTCTTCACCAATTGATTCAGATTTGGGTGGTTCAGATGCTAGTACTATATCATTAGAGGATGATGAATTAGTTTATGATGTTGAACTTCTTCCTCATGATCCGGAAAAAAAAGAAAAAATATTATGGATTATCTTCCAAATCAACGAAATGCTGTTAGGAGAGCATACATTCTTAAAAAACATTGTCAACCAAAAACGTATGCCTTTCCTACAAGAGACATTGGATGTCCACGTCGGTTTAGAATTTCTTGGTATAACAAAGGTATTGGCTTGAATATAGTATTTACAAAGATGCAACCTTTTGTTTTGTTTGTTACTTGTTTAAGAATGAAGTTGAAGCTAATGCAGTTGGAGATGCATTTGTTAATGGCGGATTTCGGTCATGGAATAAACGAGATAGATATACAAAAACATGTTGGTGGACTTAAAAGTGCTCATAGCCTTGCTTATGAGAAATATGTGAATTTAAGAGATGGTAAAAAGAAATCAATACATGTTGCTTTTGGTAATGGAAATGAAGCGGTTCAAAGTGCATACAGAATTCGATTGAAAGCTTCAATTTCTTGTTTATCTTATCTGTTACGACAAGGATTAGCATTTCATGGGAATAGAGAAAATGAGGAATCTCTTAAGAGTGGAAATTTTCTTGTACTTTTGAAGCGGCTAAAAACACATAATGAAGACGTGTCAAATGTCATACTTGAAAATGCTCCGGGTAATTACCAATTAACATCTCCCATGATTAAAAAAGAAATTATTAATTGTTGTGCTAAAGAAACTACTAAGCAAATTATACATGATGTTGGTGATGACTACTTTGCTATCTTGGCTGATGAGTCAAGTGACGTGTCCCAAAAGGAACAACTAGATCTTTGTTTGCTTTATGTCAAACGAAATACGGGAAGAATAGTTGAGAGGTTTCTAGGACTTGTTCATGTTAGAAACACCACTGCATTGACTCTAAAAAAATGCAATTATTAGTTTACTTGTTGAACATTCTATAAGTCCTCTATGATTAGAGGATAAGGATATGATCGGGATAGCAACATGAAATGTGAGATAAATGACCTAAAGACTTTAATTCTTGTTGAAACTTGTAGTGCTTACTATGTTCATTGTTTTGCTCACCAGCTTCAACTAACACTCATCGCAATGGCTAAAAAGAATAGTGATCAAGGTTCTAAATGGGTGAGGCGTGGAGTGGCGGCAAGGCCAAGCCTCAAGCTTAACGAGTCATGGCGAGCCATGACGTTTTTAAAGGCGTGATACAAGGCGGCGATTTTTTATTAATTTAAAATTATATTACCACATAAATATAAATTTATATTAAATATAACTACTTTTTAGAAGTGTTAGATCAATAACTAATAACAAAAAGTTAACAAAAACCACAATACTTGTATCTCCAATTTGAAAAAACATAACAAAGAACAAAAAACGGTGTCTCAAACGAAAAAACATGTACTATAACACGCCATAACGCACCATGGTGCGCCATATCACGCCTTGCCACACGCCACGCCTAACAGCAACGTTATGAAGCTTTTCGTAACGGCGAAGCCACGCCTCATGCCATGACGTGCCTTTTAGAACACTAATAGTGATTGTGCTTGGCTTTTTGATATACTTACAACATTGTTAAATGTTGTTGGAGTTTCTTGTAAGAGAAGAGAGATGATTCGAGAAATTCAAGCTCAAAATGCAGCTCAAGCATTGGAAATGGGTGAAATTAAAATAGGAACATGGTTAAAATCAAGAACTTGGTTTGAAGAGACCCGGTGAAACCCGTTAGGGATCTCACTACAAAACTATTTTAAATGTGATCGGCTTGTTCCCTACAATTGTTGAAATACTTGTGAATATCGGAAAGAATGGTTCAAATTCGGATGATAAAGCAAAAGCCCAAGGTATTTTGTACTCACTAGAGTCATTTGATTTTATATTTATGGTGCAACTAATGTCTACTATACTTGGATACACTAATGATTTGTCTCTTGCTTTGCAAAGAAAAGATCAAGACATTGTTAGTGCTATGAGACTTGTTTCGGTGACTAAAGGAGTTTTGCAAAATATAAGGGATCTTGGATGGGATAACCACATGAATACAGTCACATCATTGTGTAATAAGTAGGACATTGTTGTTCCAAATATGGAAGATCAGTATATCCCTCAAGGATGGTTAAAACGTTTTGTCCAACAAGCAACAAATATTCATCATTTCCGAGTTGAAGTGTTTATTGGATTAATTGACCTATTACGTCAAGAACTAGATGGCCGGTTTGATGAAGTGAATACGAATTTGCTTACATACATGACTTGCTTAAGTCCCAAAAACAACTTATCTTCTTTTAACGAAGATAAATTACTCAAACTTGCTATTCTCTATCCTTCTGAATTTTCAAGCACGAACTTGATGACTCTGGATTGTCAACTTGATATCTTTATAAATGATGTGAAAAAAGATGTTGAGGTCCAAAATATCCATGACGTTACTTCCCTTTCGATGAAGCTTGTTGATACAAATAGACATGTGGCTTGTCCACTGGTGTTTTTGCTTATCAAGTTAATGATGATTCTTCTGGTTGCTACTGCAAATGTAGAGAGAGTGTTTTCTGGAATGACATATGTCAAAAATAAGTTGCGGAATAGGATGGGGGATCAACTTTTAAATGATTGTTTAGTCACTTTTATTGAGAGGGATGTGTTTCTACAAGTTCCAGATGACGATATCACTGATCGATTTCAAGAGATGACGAATCGGCGGATTCAATTGTAACTTTTGTTTAATTTATGTTTTTCCGATTTACGATTTCAAATGTTTAGAAACTCTTTGAAAATATTATTTTGAATCTTGACAATTACTATTTTGAATTTGATAATTTTTGTATCTCGTATCAAAATTCCTAGCTCCACCACTGACATCAACTTCACCCACCAAACATCAATAAAAAAATAAAAATAAAAAATCTTACCCGTACAACACAGCGTATCTCATCATGAGTTTGTATTAAAATCTATAGATGTTTTACGAGGTTTAAGTATCTTCTATTCAAATTTAACAATACAATTATACAAAAAATGTTGCAAATCAGGTGCCTTGTCAAATGTCAACCCATGAAGGTTATACCAGATGAAATCCTAATTCCAATTGCACCATTTTCTTCTTCTTATATATACTTTTATCGATTTGGGTAATAATTTCACTTAATACTAACTTTTTCAAATATTAAACAATCTGGACTTTGTAGTAATATATACAAAATATAATGGGCTACATAAAATAGATGGGCTAACTAGCTAACACGACGCTATTGGCTATACATGATAATGGGCTATAACGATTAACGACTATATGTACACTAATAATTTGTTACTGAAGTACGTTTCTTTTAATAAATTGTCTTAAAATGTGGTCAAAAACCTTGTGCTCCTACGTACTGATATTGGTCAAATTTGATTTTCCTAAAATCAATTGTTTCACAATTTAGGTGAGCCGTCTCTTCCTATTAGTTGGTTAATCATCAGTCGACTTCGAGTCTCTTCCTAAAATTAAAGATGTTGGTATATGAGCAACATGGAGAATAACGGTTCTATAACAATTGGTTCATATATATATTTCAGAAAGAATAATACAAGAATCTTGATTTTTAACGACACGGTATTAGAATAGCACCCATGGGTACCTTCAACAAACATAACGATAACAATGCCTAATCAATTGATCAGATTTCAGTAGTGATGATAATAACGCTTCATCACTACGTGAAAACTTTGATTAAGGGATTTTTCAGACTCTATAACATTAATAAAACATGTGGTAATATGGATGACAATGGAAAGTCCATGTGAGATACTAACAATAGTGGTATCCATTTGACACACACTTATTAGATGCATGAGAATTCTTAGAGCATGAGATTTATTAAGAGCTTAATCCATTCATCCGACTCCGATCATCACAAACTCCTAGACAGAAGCAACTCCATCTGAGGCTTTCACGGTTATGACCTTATGATAATGACTTTCTTCACATTCTTTACCCGGCATCTGTTCTTCTAGTGCTATTATCTTCTCGTCAATAGGTACAGATGGAAGCTTGTTGTCCTTGCTAAGACCCCAAACAACAAGATAAAGCCCTGCAACTATGACAATGGCTCCAATAACCCTGTGAAAGATGTTAATTAATTAGCTAGCTTATCATTACTTCATGTTAACACTACCAACCAAATTAATGAACTGAAAAAGATACCTTCCTAGGTACATTTGCTCAGCTAGAATAATGGAACCCATCACAGCTACAATTATCATGCACAATGGACTAAATGCAGTCACAAAAACCGGACCTTTGACTCTCATTACTAGTCCTTGGATGTAATATGCTAGACCCGAACACACTATCCCCTGCATTAGGATCACATAATCAGAGATCTTTAGATTCACATACACACACAAAACACAAATTTGTTGGTTCAACGGGCGTCCTTACTGTGTATACAGTTGCCATTAGTGTTGTGTCCCACTTTATTGCCCAGGCTGCGGGATTTCCCCTCTCCATTATCAATGCCAATATCCCTCCCTCAATTGTTCCCATTAAGCATATCCAAGCAGTTAGAGAAATCTCAGAGGGATAAGACTTTAGGGTGATCGACTGTAAGTATACGGAACAAGTTAGAGATATAATTGGTGGAATGACAAAAGAATACAATGATCAAGGGTAATGAAAAAAGAATACAATGACAAAGTAAAAGAATAAGCAAGACAATGAAATGAGTTATTCTAAATATTTTGTGTGATCATGTTTGATTGGTGTAAATGAATATAATGAAATGAATATTTTATGTATACGCAAGGTATAGTCTAAACATTGTTTTTAATTATAATTATTGAACCTGTTATTTGCATAACTAAAAAAATAAACAAAATAAAAACTTATTGAAAATAAAAAAAGCAGTTACTTTTAGAAAATAAATCTATAATATAACTATAATCATGAAGTTCTTTCAAAAAAGATTTTTGTGATAAAAGATTCTATAAATAAATGTGGGTTATCTTGCACTTTCTAAAATCCGTTTCATGAAGGAGAAAAAAAAAACACGGAATCAAATTAAAGAAATGGAAAAGAAAAAAAAAGCAATTAAAATAGGCAAAACGAGGGGTTTTTTTGTTTTGTTTTGTTTTGTTTTGTTTTTTTTTTTTTTTTTTTTTTTTTTTTTTTTTTCAAATTCCACATAATTAAACCATTCCATTTCTTTTGTCAAGACTAAACACTAATACTAGCATAGTTTATAGGGACTCTTACTTGCAGAATCATGAAACCAGACCAACTGACGCATCCAACAGTGATCATAAAAGCACCCTTGAGAGAATGGTGAAGATCTACTCCACTGGTTGCAACTTCATGATACGTTCTTCCTTTTGTCCAAAAAAGCTCGATAATCGGGCCTTTCATAAGTGTCATCACCATGGCTCCTGCAACAGTTGTCACTGTCCCTAATACCTTGGCCTGGCTATGGATGCTCTTTAGGTTTAGCTTCTCAACTCTGAAAAAATCATAATCTCCAAGCTTTTTATATCTAAACTTATATATTATAATAGTCATGTCTTTTCTGCATGCATGTTAATAGCTTTTTACCTTAAAATACATGCCATGACAAAAGTTATAGCAGGAAGAACGTTCGACATTGCAGCTGCAAAAGTCGCTGTGGTAGCTTTAAGGCCCATAAAGTAAAGATTCTGATCAATAACTGGCCTGCCAAAAACAAATAAAAGCTTGTTATTTAAGCACTAAGGTAGAATCTCTTAGATGCGGTTTTCTTAAACTTACTCCAGTAGTGCAAGCATCATAATCTTGAAGAAAATCGGACGTGTCATTTTTGGCCTCGTTTTCCTGGTTTCAAAAATGTAATTAAGAATTAATAAAACACAAATCCATGTAAACATTGTAGTCTATCACGTGAGACATGAAGACAAATTTTCAAGCACTCGATATATAAGCACAAGAATGGTATTTAAAACTTTTGCAAGACAAAAGATGGAGAGTGTGTCCTTGTTCCAACTTTTTGGGTGAGAGACAAACAATTGCAATGTTCGTCCCATTGGCATCGTTTGTAGTATTAGTTTCAATCCATTGCACGCTAAACGGAGTATAACCTATCAAGAAGAATCGCGAAAGGGGCCATGACAAGAGTGGCGACTGCATGGCGATAAACAACAAATACGTAATTGCTCATTCCTTCATTCAATGCCACTTTAGAAAGAATGTCCATGCCTGCAAACCCGAACTGTATGAAAACAACAGCAAAAAATGGCTTCCCCTTGTGAAAGAATTCACTCATACCCTCAGATTTACTCATCTCGCTATGTATGGAAGCTAAAGTTGTTTGATATGAGATGTGTAATGGGTGTTTGGAGATTCTTGCGTCTTTGGTTTATATACTACGCTTGTTAAACAGTTGGACAACTTTTATGACAAATCTTGTTGCCACTTTATAATCTAACACCTTTTTTTGTTTGTGGAGATTTATGACATTCTTTTTAAGTTTATCTGCGTTTTTAGGACTCATGTTGTAACCAATGTCACATGACTAGACATTAAACATCGTCGTTGTATAAGAAAATTAGGATTTTGCTAGAGTTGAACTTGCTCCTTTCCAGTAAGGTACTAAGACCATGCATGGACTTCATATCTTGCAAATTTGTCACATAGTTCTCTTTCTACTTTTGGAAAATATTTGCAACGCCAAGTTTTAGACCATATTAAAAAAATCAAATTAAAGTTGATCATTTATTATTTTAATTGCTCATTAATTTATCTATTTCGTTTATTTAGAACTATATAAATATAATCAAATGTTAATATTTTTAGTTTATGTTTTATTATAATTGATTAACTAACTTCCATATTATGAAACTAGGTAATATAAATTAATACAATTAATAATGTAAACTTAATATATTTTAAATATAGTAAGACTTACATTATTTTTGTTTAAAAATAGATCTTATGTACCAAGTCTTGTCATGCATGTCTCTTTGATGGCGATGATTCAACTCTTGATCGGGATAGATAAAATTAGGAATAGCTTGTCCGAAAAAAAGTTTACTGTATTCATGTTAATATTTTATGAAAGATTTGTTAATCATAAATAATTAAAAATGTTTGTTAAAAATTACAAAATAGTTGTAGATATATTTTGTATTGCCTAAATTTAAAAAAAGAAAAAAAGTTGCACTTTGTTGAACTTTTGTTGCAACCTTTGTTGTATTTATGTCCCGATATAAATTTAATCAAATATAAATATAGAGTAAATTACAAAGATGATCTATATATATTTGTTGTATAATTGTGTTTGCAGTCGAAATATTTTTTCTTCCTATTCCGTTATTTGTTACCCTGATGGTCTCTTCCTTTAACTATGTTAAAGTTTTACTATTAGACTCACGTAAATCAACTATATATGTTATCCCTTTTTTTTTTTTTTTTTTTTTTTTTATCGTAATTGATGAACACCACCCCACCTCCACCATCATCGTCCCACCTTGCCCCCTACTTTTCACCCCCCTCATTCCAATGAATTTCTATCATGGAATACATGGCAAACAAGTTGTTTGCTATGAATTAAATGTTTAAATGTTAACTTTCCTATAAATATGATTATTTGCATGAAGGAATTGTGATATTCGTTTGAAGTTATCAGTAATGCAAGCATGAAAAATGTTTATAGATATGATTTTAACTAATCGCATAATACAAGTTTTCAATGTTGTTTCTTTTCTAGAATTTTTATCAATAATTAAAGCAAAATCTTGCTAACAAGAATTGTATTCAATTTCTTGTTTTGGTTTATATTAGAACCATTGTCATAAGTTTAAAAATATTTGAGAATATGACTTTTAATTTGGTTCAATTTTAGGAAGAGAAATCTCCGATAAAGTCTCAGTTTCCAACATTTATCAAATTTTAATATAGTATCAGAGCGGGATGCATATTCCTGCTAAAATGACCATGACAGGTACAACCCCGACGATAGCTACTCCAGCACAAACCCATCATCGGACCCCATCTCACCCTTGTACATGCATCCTACTGACTATCCTTAACAAATCCCCGTCAATGAAATCCTTAGTAACAACAACTATTTCGACTTGCCAAGGGAAGATGAAGGATTTTCTCTTGGCAAAGGACAAATCATGTTTCATTGATGGAACCCTCATCAAACCGACGCAAGATGGATTGGAAATCAAGGAATGGGAATGTTATGATCCCTAATACGATGTTGGATATAACAAAAGAAATGGAGAACGATATATGAAATAGTGTCAAATATGCCAACATATCCCAAGAAGTTTGGGATGATCTTGAAGAACGATCTGGAAGAGAAAGCGTGCCTCAATCTTATGAATTCAAGCAAGCACTAACAATCCTAAGACAAGACAACACCATAATATCAACTTATTTTACTAAGTTGAGAGCCATTTAGGTTGTAATCCACATTGTTTCACTAATTTTGAGATGCACCTGCAAAAAGTGCACATGTGCCCTTGGAAACGACTCTTCGAGTCAATATAAAAAGAGTATATCTATGCATTCCTCATGGGACTTGATGTATTTGGAACCATCAAAACCCAAACCTTGAGCACCAAACCAATGCCAAGTCTTGGAAACACGTACCATCTAGAAGACGAACAATAATGAAGTATATCCTCTTCAAGAAGAACCACTACTGACATTGTTGCTTATCAGGTTCGTAACCAAACAATTGACAAAAAAAAATTATGAAAAACAATTTAAAATTCATGAAGGTTCCGGGATTCTCGCAACGGAAAGAAACCAACAGATCAATAGAAGGCAACCAAACCAACACCATGGGCAACATATATCGAAATTGAGTCTAGCCCAATACTCAGGCTCAACCTTGATCAATACTCAAAATTAATTAAGCAATTAAATGAGTCCACAATAAAACAAAAATTTAACATGGTTGGTAAGTTTTATTTTAATACCCCTTGGATCATTGACTCATGTGCCACTGAGAACATTGCATGTAACAAATCCTTTCTCTTAAATCTAGAAAACCCAACGAAGGAACCCATGTTATTATACCAAATGGTGATAATGTTCCAGTTCAAGGAGTTGGAACTACGTGTCTCCCCAATCACACAAAAAATGATCATGTTTTACACATTCCACACTTTAAATGCAACATACTTTCAGTCAACAAAATTACAAAGGATTTCAATTGTTTAATGACATTTTAGTCAGATTATTGCCTAATACAGGACTTACGTTCAAGGAATCTGATTCGCATAAGGAGATAAGAGAATAGTATATGTTTGTGTGTGTGTGTGTGTATCAATTGGAAGGAACAGATAAAAGAATTGTAGTAATGGCAGTAAAAGTTGATTTAGACATTTGGCACAGAAGGTTAGGGCATGCATCCAACAATAAGCTACAACATAGTAATTCCATAGGGAAAATAGTTTACATAGGACATTGTGATTCCTATGAAAAAGCAAAGCAAACTAGATTCTATTTTTAGATAGTTCTATAAAATCTACTACTTGTTTTGATCTTATCCATTGCGATATTTGGGGACGTTATCGTGTGGCCCCTACTTACAGGGCTCATTTTTTTTTTTTTTTTTTTTTTTTTATCATCGTCGATGATTTTAGTCAATCTACATGGGTATATTTGATCGAAAACAAGTTTAATGCAAGCACTAGATTAATGGTTTTTTGCAAGATGATATAATCACAATCTGAAAAGGGGTCAAGAAAATTTGTAGTGACAATGGAGGTGAGTTTGTCTTAAAACAAATGGTACGATACCATGAATATAATGGAATCATCCATGAAACATCATACATACACACCCTTCAACAAAATAGGGTTGTTAAGAGAAAATATAGTCATTTATTAGAAGTTGTAAAAGCCTTAAAATTTGAAGCAAATTTACCCATAAAATTTTAGGGTGAATGCGTATTGAGTGCCACCTACATCATAAACAGACTACCATCTAAAGTGTTGAAGAACAAGACACCATATTAACTTTTATTTGATTATAAATCGTATTATGATCATATGAGAGTTTTATGGATCTTAGTATACATAAAAGAAAACAAAGTATCAAAGGACAAGTTCCAAGAAAAGAAGAGACCTTGCGTTTTCTTGGCTATCAATTGACACAAAAGGTTACCATGTTTTTGATTTAAAGGAAAAGAAGATATGAGTTTCTAGAGATGTGAAATTTGTTGAATGTCAATACCTTTTTCATAAAATACACCCTCACATCCTTGATATCGAGGATGTCCTTTCCAACTGCAATTTTTGGCTGACACCATCCGATTATGCCCTACCATCTACCCCGGTAACAAAAAACGTGCAATCAGATTCTACTCTTGATGCAACACCACCTATAGAAATTGAACACTAAAAAGAAACTCTACTCAAACTACAACTAAGGAGCAGTACACAACACAATTTTCATTTAACCTCCATTCCAGTGCAACACCATCGACTAGAACGAGTTAGATATCTTCCTCAACAATTTGGTGATTATGAAGTGAAAATGTCACCTTCCTTAGACCATCCTCTTCCCAACTTTAATTCAACATCCTCAACAATGATACTCACCTTATCTAACTTTTTTTCTTACAAAAAAATTATAATGCCACAAATCTTTTTTAACTGCCTTCACAACACACAGTGATCCCAATCACTTATCTCAAGTAGCCAAATATATAAAATGACAAGAAGCAATGAAAAACGAAATCCAAGCACATGAAAGAAACAATACTTGGATTTTGATTGATCTCTCTTTAACCAAGAAAGTAATCGACTCCAAATGGGTTTATAAAATAAAATAAAAACCCAAAGAAGAATTTTAGCATTATAAAGTGTGTTTGGTCGCTAAAGGTTTCATCCAAATCAAAGGTGTGGATTTTCATGAAACATTTTCACCCATCGAGAAAATTGTAACAATTCAAACAATATTAGCAATTACATTTCGTCGAAAATGGACCATTCATGAACTTGACATCAAAAATACCATCTTGAATGGTGATTTATATGAAGAACTTTACATGAAATTTACATAAGGTTTTGTTAAAACTAGTGACAAACACATTTGCAAACTTAAAAAATCCTTATCTGGTTTACGATAAACATCTTGTAATTGGTATAAAAAGTTCATTGATGCCTTATTAAGAATTGGTTTCAACATTACAAATTTGATCATTCATTCTTCACCTTTCAAACACATACCACTTCTGTAGCTGCTCTTATCTACATCGATGATGTCATTCTTCTCGGCAATTATTTTGATCGCATTAATTAAGTCAAGTGATATCTACAC